TTATCCATTTCATGATACATGTATTCTTTATCATCAAATTCATTATAGTGTCATTTACTACTTTAAAACGATGATTGAGGGTGATTTATATTCTCTAATTAGTTCGGTATATATTTTAGCCTCTGGACCATAAAGTGAAATATGAAATTGAGCATGTGTTTTTGACTGCACATGTATTATAATTAATTGATATATTAACAACTTTTTTTAACGATTTTAAGCCATTGTCGTCGCTATTGTTCTTGGTTATATGAGTCACTTACAAAACTCTTTGTTCCTTTTTCAGCGATTATCCTAAATACAAATCCGTATTCATCTTTTTTATACATTTTATTCATAAATCCATTTTAAAGAGTGGTCTTCACTAGGGATGGCAATGGGTAGGGTACTATAGTACCCATCCCCATACCCGCGTTTTAAAAAAATACCCATACCCGGCCCCATACCCGCGTGGGTATGAATATTAATTCCCGTACCCGTACCCTCTGGGTACCCGCATACCCGTCTTGTACCCATTACCCGCGCTTGTTTGAGAAAAAAATATTTATAAAAAAAAATATGTTTATATAACTTCACATAAGTAGTATAATAATACAAAAATTCAATATGTAGTTGCCGAATAAGGTACAAATATAGATAAAAAACAAATATTCAAAGATCATAAATGTTAAATGTATCTTAATATAATAATTTTCTAAACTAAAATTCTTAGAAACAATAAGTAAAAACTAAACACACAAGTTATTTGTGAGTGATAATTCTATCTTGTGTGAGATTTGATTGTTGGTAATGTCAAAACGACAACGCAATAGATCTATATAATGGTTGTCCCTTCGTGTGGGATCACTTAGTAACCTCTTGTGACGGCATTAACAACTAACTCTAATGAATAACATTTCATAGTTATTAAGTTTTAGTGAGACAGACATTGAGAATGAGAATAGAGTTAAAGTAGAGAAGTTCAATACTAATAACAGAAAGTTGATACATAAAATATTTTTTTTAACTTTTGAATTTGAAATTGTAAGAAAAATAATAAATTTAATTAAAATAATATAATATAATTAATATATATATATATATATTAATACTAGTATTTTTTAACTCATATACTATACGAAAGTATTTTATCAAAAATATAAATTTTTGAAAAATTATTTTAGTGAATTAAATATTTATAATGTATATAAATTTAAAAAAAAAGAATTTGAATAAAAGATAAATAGTTACAATAAAATTTTATAATAAAGAAATATACGTGTATATTAAAAAAATTATACTTTTTTATCTTAAAAAAATTAACAAATAAAAATTAACAATAATTTTTTATATTTATATCCTTTCAAAAACTTCTTTGAATGTGAATAAATAGTAAGAATAATATTATTTAGATTCAATAGATTATAGTTGTGCTTGTAATACATATGTTACATAGAAAAATATTATTTTAAATTAAAATATAAAAATAAAATTTAAATATTGTTAATAAATAATAAGTTTACGGTAATAGTAGGTGATTGTAAAATTTATAAAATATTTATAATATATTTATTATTTATCATTCACTTTATGATTTAAACATCAATATGATTTTATTAACAAAAATATTTTATGTGTGTCATATATAAATAATATTTTAAAAAAAGTCAATCTTATATTAACTATGTAATAATTAAATTGTGTTAGCCTAATTAAATGATATAAAATAGTAAATAAATTTTTCTATTAAAAAAATAAACCAAAATAAATTTTTTGATTTACTTTATTATTAAATATATTTTTATATTAATCTTATATAACTTCACATAAGTAATATATATATATATATATATATATATATATGCGGGTATGGGGCGAGGTGGGTACTTAGATACCCATACCCGCACCCATCCCCATTAAAATTTGCGGGTTTTTACCCACACCCATACCCGTACCCGTATAGCGAGTAAATACCCTACCCATTATGGGTAAATTTTGCGGATGCCCATTGGGTACTTTACCCATTGCCATCCCTAGTTTTCACTTAGCTTCTCACCTATTAATTTGCATTTCTTGATTTTTTTTTAAAACTTTTTTTCCTCGAGTAGAATTCCATTGGATGTGAGAAGAACCATGACAGCTTCACTTTTAGTTTATGACAAATCACAGTCTATGTTTTGACATGAAAAAAAAAAAGATGTTACAAAAATAAAAATAAAAACTGATGAAGGGTTTGAAGAAGAATTGAAAATGAAATTAATTAATGAATAGATACTAACAAAGGGAATGATTAAAGAAGAATAAGAAATAGGAAGGTTGAAAACATATTTTTTTAACTTATTTTAAATTATTAGTTAAAATTTATTAAAAATATAAAAATACCAGGAAGAATAATTAAATTAAAAGTGAAATTTATATTTTTTTAAATAAATTTAGAAAAATTGTATTGCTAAATTTTCTCATAAGAAATAAAAGAAGAAGTAAAGTGAAAAAAAAAATTGTGAATCTGAATTTGGAGAAGATAATAATATGAGGCAAAGTTTTTGAAATTAAAATTTGGAGATACGAATAGAAAATCTGTGTTTATGTCATATCATTGTTTATGTAAAAGTCATTTCATATTACATAAGTTAGCTATTCTATAAGTAGGAAGGAAAAAGTTAAAAGATCACTTACAAATGAGTTGTCTAAAAAATATTTTGGATGACTTTTTTTCTCTTTTCTAAAAAGAAGACCAAATAAAAAATTACATATAATCAAAAGTTTATTTTAGCCTATTTTTAAATTTCTCTATACTATCATAGTAATAATACTTGTTAATTTATATTTTATTTACTCGTTGAACATAACAAACTTAGGATTTTTTTATCATTTCTTTCTTCTCCCCTCAATTTTTCCTTCCACATCTCCACACTAATAATGTTTAAGGTACTAATAGAACTTGGGCAAAGTATAACATCACCAAACTAGGAAAGTGAGAAAAAAAAAACTCATAAATTCTCACTAATTGGTTCATTAATTTCCACTGTCCTTATATCATGTTGAGAACATCTAAAAGTATCATAACTTCTTTATAACGATGACCTTCTTTTACAAATAGTAAATTTATAGGATGTTCATTAGACATAATACCCTTAAAATTTTAAATTAAGGATGAACTCAATAACAAAAAGATAATAAAACTCTAACTTAGATATCAAGACAATAATTACCTCCTTATTAATTTTTTTTTCAATCTTGTCATCTACTTAAATTATTATGCATTAGCTAATTTTGTGTTTATCTTTAAATTTTCTTTGTTTGTTTTGTCCTTTGCCATAGTTATGATGACAAATGCTAGTGTCCTATTTACCTTTGAAATTTGTCAATTGATGGTTTCTCGATCCCCTTTAAACATGGCACAGGGTTTGACTCGTGTGTGTGGAGAAATCTCATACTAAGAGTTCGTTTCGCCATACTGTAAATGTTTTTTTTATTCAAACAATATTACCTTTCTTAATACATGTTATTTAAACTAACAAAATAAAAAAAATTACTTCTAAAACTTCTTTCTCAATGTTATCTCTAAAATTTCTAATTAGCCAATCATAAAATAATATTTTTATCTTTCTTGAAAAAAAATTGGCACTCTCTCTCTCTGAAGATAAACAATATAGTAATTAGATAACTTAAGGATAACTAATATAAGTATTTTTAATAATAATAATAATAAAAAACACCATTATAATTATTCTCGTGTTAGCTATTAGAATTACAAAGAATCTAACATCTCTCGTTAACATAAAGACAATCCTTATCTACCGAGATACGAAGTTCCAGCATTAATCCTAACACATTACACATAAGATGAAAATGACACTTATAATATGATACCTTTTATTGAAGATACCAATTTATAAGTAAAAGTTAAAGTTTAGAATCTTGTTTTTATTACAAATTTAAAAATAATCATAATTAGGTTTATTATAAATAATAGTAATAATTCATAATTTGATGATTACGAAGCCTTCTTTGGCCATATTGCACATAATCCAAAGTTTTATTATCATTGATTTCCGAGCCATGTAGGATTTTTTTTTTAATTTGTCTCTTTATTGTGATTTTTATTTGTATTCATTTTATATCTAATAAAAAAAATCAACTTTAGCAAGTTAAGTTTTAAAGTAGTAAAACAACTTTACAAATTTATTGGAAGTTATCCACAGCAACTAATTGTATGGGGAGTAAAATTATTTTTAACTTTTGATTTAATTTTTTGAATTCATTTGAAGGAAACATGAAAAACTAAATGTCAACCCTTTAAATTAAACAGGGTAAAACTGCCATTTATATAATATAAAATTATTTTTAAAAAAGAAATCAAACATATTTTTAGTGTCTGAATTAAGTCCCAACACCATATAAAATACAATGAAAACCAGTAATACTATTTTTTTTATGTGACTAAGAGTACTATTGTTGATACATACTTGATAAAATTAAAAGTATTCTTTAAACATAGAATGCTTTTTTAAGTTAATTTTCATACTCTCTAAGAATGTAATATTATTCAATTTGAAAGCTTATAATGAATATTTAAATACAGAAATTAAATTTAATACAATAAAGAAATAAATTATTAAGTAACTCAATTTAAAAGATACCACAAAATTTATAAATAATAAATAACTAACTATAAATTTAACTTATATCTATATTTATACGAAAATTTTCAGATTTCACATTTGATCTCTATAAGGTTACATCATACTTTTTTTATGTTGTAACACGTGTAATAAAATTTTACATTAAATAAAATCAAATTAGTGTTAATTTATTTCTTAATTAGTTATTTGAATAAAATAAATTCCATAATTTTATTAGTCAATGTTGAATATATATTTTTAATTGTCATTAAATATAATAAACTAATTTTAAATGATTATTAAATTAATTATATAATTTTTAAATTAAAATTTACTTAAATTCAAAATGCCAGGAGGTAAAAGTATATGTTGGGAGGGAGTCTTTTTTTGGGGGGCAGAGCAATTGTTGTTCTTGAAGAATCAATAAATTGAAGGAGAAATAAAGGGTTGTGAAAGGATGAAGTGAGAGAGGAAGTGGGGAAATCAGCTTCTGAAAGAATGATTGAAACTACCCAACACATTCTCTCAACTTCCAATTCCAATTCCAAATAACATATAATAATCATAATCTTGTATTATTGATTCTTGACCCTTTCAAACCCTAACCCAATTCCAATGGCTTCATCGGAGATTGAGGTCGTTTCATCGGACTCCAAACCCAATGACCGTCCTCCAATACTCGACGTCTTCACTGCCTCTTCTCATGGCGACTTTCACAAATTGAGGTCTTTTGTTCAATATGACGGCGCCTCCGTTTCCGTTCCCGATGTTAATGGTTATTATGCTCTTCAATGGGCTTCCCTTAACAACTTTCATGAAATTGTGCACTATCTCATTCAGGTATTTCCCTTTTTTCGCTTTGTGTTTGGTGTTAGCTAATAATTGATGGCATATTTTTTAAACATTTAAGTTGGTTTCGTCTTCTTGTGCAGCAAGTTTGAAATTTTCTTCTTTGGGTGATTGTGGGTCGTTCTTGAAATTAATAGTTTTTGTATCTTTCAGCAGGGTCTTTATGTGCTGAAATAATGAATTGATTTGGGTTGAATTTAACTGTACTTGATTTTTGAAGCATGGAGCTGATGTCAATGCTAAAGACAACATGCAACAAACGGCATTGCATTGGGCGGCTGTTCGTGGTTCAACTGCGGCAGCTGATGTGCTCTTGGAGAATGGTGCTCGGGTTGAAGCTGCTGACATAAATGGATATCGGGTATTGTGCTCCTTTGTTAATGCATTCTTACATGCTTGTCAATAGTTGTTTGGATCGATTTATTAATTTCATCAAATTTCAGCAGGATTTTCTTTTTTCTTTTTTTGTATTTAGGGATGTCAGTAGGGCAGACATGGGTTGGGGTTTTAACATCCATTTAAAATTATTTGCATCCAAGTCAATATCCAAATTTGATTTATGACTTCTTGTCACCTCATACCCCAGGCATTTCCATATCCAAATCTGTATGTCTGAATGGTAACTGTATACCCAATTTTTTTCTTTATTTGATATCTGGATATCTTAGTATCAAAATTTTACACCATACTTATATTATGATTTTTCTGAACATTTAAGTGTGTTTATGTTGTTTTAGCTTATAAGTAATATATATTGGGTAAAAGAAGCAAGACAAAATTTTGATTTTATGAAACTGTGAGTTGTGAGTGTATCAATATTTGCTTTTAATGATGATAAAAAGCTATCTATGTACTAGTTATCATCAATTTATTGCTTTTTTTCTTTGAATAAATACAAGTCTTATAAATTGTATTGGTATTTGGGTACAAGAAATAGGTGAGCGTGTGGTTTTCTGAGTGAAATTGATCAATACTCATTTCTGTATAAGGAAAATCATGAACTTATCCTATCTACTACTTGTTTAAATGTTTCCAGTATTGTGCTATTTTCATAGTTAAATGGTTCCTGCAGGCAGTTCATGTTGCTGCACAATATGGACAGACAGCTTTCTTAAATCATGTTGTGGTAAAGTACAATGCTGATTTTGATGTGCCTGATAATGATGGAAGGAGTCCTCTTCATTGGTATGTCATGAAGCTTTTGATTGCTATGCAGGGGTTAGGAAACCTTATTTGGATAGTGATCTGATTGTCAATGTCCTAGCTCCACCAGTTATATCTACTTTCTGTTTTTAATGCACTCAAACAATTAGTTAAAACCTCTCATCTAAATGCATAATGAAAATTATGCCTTGGCTAATTGTTATTCTTTTTTTTTTTTACCCGAAACTTATTAATTTAAGGGAGTATTAATTGATGGAATGTCTCCCTGTACTTCAAAGAGTTTTGAAGTACTTTAGGTTTTTAAATGTGTTGTGTCAAATTATTGAAGCCCACCCTAAATAATTGTTTCTAATAATTATGTTTTTGTATTAGGCTAACTAAATCTGTTGAAGAAGTTGCTTTTGTATTTACTTGGTTTTTTGATTTGTAATTCTTATGGCCAGGGCTGCATATAAGGGATTTGCCGATACGATAAGATTGCTTCTATTTAGAGATGCAAGTCAAGGAAGACAAGATAAAGATGGTATGCCAAATTGGCACTTAGTTTCTCTTTAGATTTGTATAAGTTTTCAATTGTATATGCTTTATATCATATTTTAGCATTTGGTCAAGACACACCTACAGTTTCAAGAGTTTGTTTGGGGTAACAGATTTGAGATTTTATGTTCTCAACATTTGAGATTTTATCTATTTGAATGCTATTGTATTTATTACATTAGGTTGAATTATTTTAATTACTTTTGAAACAGGTCCTTTTTGCTATTAACTTGTAGTTTTAGTTGGTCATTTTAGATTTTTGATGTGATAATACCCAATAAAACTGATTTAGGTTGTACTCCGTTGCACTGGGCTGCATTAAGAGGACATGCAGAGGCATGTGCTGTGCTTGTACATGCAGGCACAAAGGAGGAATTGTTGGTGAAGGATAATGCTGGCTTCACTCCTGTACAACTTGCATATGATAAAGGTCATCGGCATGTCACTTCTTTCCTTGTACGTAATGTTGTATTAACGAGGCTGTTGGTTGTGTAATTCTTTCAATAACAATCTTGATGAGACTTTAGCAATTAATAATCATTGTCAAATTTAGTTTTGTCAAGTGCAAGAGATAATAGGTAAACACATCTTGTGAATCAACTTTCCTGAAAACATAAGCTGTTGAGTAAATGCACATGAATGATCTTTAATTCCTTAGATCTAACAAAATCTAGGTTGTCGAACTTGAGAGTTTACTTAAACTTGTGGAGTGTTTGTAAACTCGACTTGTAAATTCGAATCATAAACTCATAAACCTCATGCAAAAATAATATTTAAAAATCAACAATAACGAAATAAAGCACAATAACAAACCAAATCCTATGATGGCAATGTGATTTGAGTGTCGTAATTTCAAATGTGGTGTTCTGCAACAAAGCGGAGAGGGAACAAAAGTGATGCCCTAATTCCAAACAGTGTCATTCTGGTGAGAAAATCTATTTTCCTTTTGTTTTGCTAAACTCAATAGAATCGAGGGTAGACAGATTTATGCCATCATAGATTCACAGTAATGAACTACTGATAGACTGATCTGTTTTTCCATTACTTTGCATTTTTATGTTGTACACTCTTGACTGACAGAATAATCAACCATAGTGGTATTTTGAGTTTCTTTACTCTTCTGAAGTTAGTTGGGTGCAAAAATGAGTGTATATTGTATCTGGCAGGAATTGTTAAATTAATTTGAGATTGATGATACTGTTAGTTTGAACAAACAATTTTGCTTCTGGAAACCACACAGGAACAGTGCTTTGTTGCTTGTTGTTTATGCAGTTATAGGTATATTGGCTCTGAAACTGATTATAGTGTTACATTTCTGCAGTCTAATCAACAACGAGGTCGTAGCAAATACTGGAGAGGTAAACTTTGTAATGGGATGGTGACAGATATTGGTTATGCTCCCATCTTATTGTGTATTATAGTCTTTCTTATGATCCTCTTCATCAACTCAGTCATTGCAGGTACTTCAGAATTTTATGTCAATTTGCAACTGACACATGTATTACTTGAGTAATTACCTTGACTGAATGTTTTCCTCTAATTCCAGCTCCCAACCTTAAAAAGATTACTGCAATTGTTGGAATTTGGGCATGGACAGCTCTTTCTTTGACAGTTGGTGCCCTGATTATGTTTTATAGGTGTAGTAGGTAATGTTCTGTGTCATCTATTCTTTCTGCTTTTGTGTGTGATATGGTATTATAAATATTTCTCCTTTCTTTGTATTTGTGTGATATTGTGTGCTTTGAATGAATACCCTCTACTGATGCATACTTGTTTTCATCATGCATGTGAATGCTCCAATAAAATTCTTTAGGAACTAGGATCTAAAAGTTAGAACTGCATCCTGACTAGTGTTTCTTTGCGTGCTATATTTGAACTATTTCACTGAAGAAGTATTGGAGAATAACCATTTCTGTTATCATCAGTCTGTTCATTACTATTTAGTATTTACTAAAAATACTGACAGAACTAGACCAGATAAACAGAGAATCTGAATTTTATTGATTGGATTTGGAACTCTAAATCCCCAAGCCTGTATCAACCTGATACGCAAATAGGGTAGGAATGAAAAACTGTAAAGTGTAAACTGAAATGGATACCTAGGTGTTCGTGTTCGAGAGACCTGGAACTATCCCCTCCCTTGGCTCCCTTTTCATGATAACCTTCCCTCTACTAGTTAACAAACTGTAGTCAGCATTCTGTGTTACACTTAAAAAATGCCTTTAAGACCTTGATTCCCTTACAATGTTATCAATGGCAGATGGCGGGTCATGGCGGAAAACAAAAAAACTGCCATAAAATTATGGCGGATGCCATGGCGGGTTATGGCGGAATAATGGCGGTCATATATATTGCAAAATGTGATATAAAATTAGAAAACTAACTACATATAAAAAGAAGGTTTTGAGAAAAAAAGAATAAAATGGTTGTACAATAGTGAAAAAAAAACTGAAGTTATAAAAGGAAAGTAGAGAATTAAAATAAATATGGAGAAAGAAACTTGGAAGTGAAAACAGAAAAATAGAATCAAGAAAACAAAATAATAAGGAAAAACGAAAAAAATGGGAGAGTAAAACAGAATGGGAGAAGGAAAAACAGAACTGAAAAAAAAAAAAAAAGGAGAGGGAAAAACTAAGAAAGAGGGAATAATAAGCTGAAGTTATAACAGAAAAGTAGAGAATTAAAATAAATATGGAGAAGGAAACTTGGAAGTGAAAACAGAAAAATAGAATCAAGAAAACAAAATAATAAGGAAAAACAAAAAAAATGGGAGAGTAAAACAGAGTGGGAGAGGGAAAAACAGAACTGAAAAAAAAAACAGGAGAGGAAAAAACTAAGAAAGAGGGGCAGAGTCCAGAGACACAAAATAGAAAATGGACTTCGGAAAATAGGGCCTTCCATTCACAGTTGCCGGAAAACAGCCGGAAAGGATGTCTTCTCCGGCGAAAATGGTGAAGGAGAAAATGGCTTTAGAGAAGAAGGAAGAAAAACAGTGTAGAGAACCCTAAATATTTTACCCTTCAGAAAATTGACCGCTTGAGAAGAGAAGGTAAACCCTAAAAATTTTAAGTGGAAAGAGTCTATTTTGCCCTTAAAAAACCCTAAAATACATAAAACAAGGGCAAGATTGGAATTTCGCTCTCTTTCTCTATTACACTTCAACACGCACACCAAGACACTACAACTAGGGCTTAACCCCTGCGAAGAAATACTTCACAGCAGCAGCAGGTGGCGGACCGCCACTCCATTGCGGCACAACAGCAATGAAGAAAGGAAGAAAATATGTGATTTAGGGTTTGGGCTCACGGATTATCTTTTCGGAGCAGGTCCAATCAATGGCCCAACTCAATTTTTCCCACAAAAACGCCATTTTTTTACATTTTCCGCCATGGCTGCCGTTACCGCCATGCGCGTAACGGCCGCCATGGCGCCGCCATTGAAAAAGGCCAGAAAACGGTAACGCTGTAACGGCGGGGTCAAAAACCGCCACCGAATTCCGCCATGGCTGCCATTTAACAACACTGTTCCCTTATGCCCAACCAATTCCTTTTACTATAAACCTTATTATTTATTGGAGGTCTTCTTCTATACTCATTGCTGACTTTTATTTAGATTTTTAATTTTTTTTCTATTTAGTTATTAATTTCTGATTTGCATTGACATAGCAAGGTAAGTAGAGAAGTGGTGTATCAGGTGACTTTTGTACTTTGACAATGATACAACTGTAAAGGTTTATGAATTGCAGCCCCGTTAATTGGCCTGGGATTGTTTCCAGTAACTTATGAGACCTTGCAAATTCTATTTGGTTTTTATCATGTAACTTACGAGAAATTTGACGTGACTGAAAATCTGAACTAGGAATCTGCCTTTTACTTGTCATTCCCTCAATATGAGATTGAAGATATAGGCAATGTTACAATGATGGATGGCGGCAAGCCAAAAATCCACCATAAAAATATTGCAGATTGCTTTGCGGCCTATTGCAGAAGCATAGCAGCTATAGTAAACATATTATGTATCCAAAAAGTATTCTGAAAAACTGCAGAATGTGTTAAAAAATAAATAATGACATATATCAAGAGTAAACTAGAAATATATCGTAAGAAATAAATTTCACCAAATGTACACTGTTAAGAAACTTGAGTTTAACTCATTTCCAAAAGTTAGCTCGTAGGAGGAGGATTACCCTGACTCTTATAAGGAGTATTTTGTCTCTTTTCCTAGCCAATGTAAGACATCTTAATACACCCCTTTCGCGCTCAGGATTAGACATCTAGTGTGTGAAATTTGCAAGATTGGACATCTGCATGGGTAGACCCAACAGGACTGGACATCTATGGACAGTCCAACGTTCAAATTGAATAGGCTCTGATACCATGTTAAGAAACTTAAATCTAACTCACTCTCAGAAGCTAGGTCGTAGGAGGAGGACTACTCTAGCCTTTATAAGAAGTATTTTGGCTCTATTCATAACCATCGTGGGACATCTTAACATACACTCTCAACAAAACAGAGAGGAATACAGTGACTTAAAGCAAAGGAATAGCGAGAGGGACCCAGAAAAAACTGAGAGATACAAAGAGATCAGAAAAAGAAATGGAGATGAAAGGATAAATGGGCAGTTTCCTTATGCATTGAATTTTTTAAAGATGCAGATTGTTTTTGTTACTTTCATTGTTTTGTACTCCCATGCCATTTTTTTCTCAGGTTATGTTCAGTTCTCATTTGCTGTCCATCTCTGTGGAATATGTGTTATAAATATTATTAAACATCATAATGTGTCCTGATACATAAGAAAATTTTTCTTGGAAGTTTATTTCTAAACCTCTCATCATCAACACTAGTTTATTGATATTACTTTCAATCCTGTGCAGTAAAGATCCAGGTTATATAAAACGGCCGGGAGACTTGGATACACAAAGTGATACGGAGGTATGTAGTCCTTTCGCGGCTGTGTAGGGTAAAATATTGCTTGCAAGTGATAGTTTTGAAGAAAAGGCTGGAAACCCCAAGCCAAAATTTATCAGGGGAAAACTCATTACATGTGTCCTCTTTTCCAAGTAATGACTTTGTGATGGTATTTTGAGGCATAAACATATGAGCATTGCCATATACTTATATTTATAATTATGTATGCATGATAGGAGTGAGGGCCAAGACCAGGATCCAGTATTGGGCCTGGAACCAGAGAGGCCCGAGATTTGGAAGGTTTATGAGAGAAGAAAGAACAGAAAGAAGGGTCTGGAAGCTGAGTTGGCATAGTTAGTTATTAGTGGAAGGTGATGTGAGGAGGTCAGGGAGAGAATATCAGAATTTGTGGATTAGGAGGGGCAGAGAAACTGGGTTTCTCTGAGTATTCTGCTCTGGAGTCATTTTTTCCTTTTAATGTAATAGTTGTGTGAGCTGGTGTCTCTATAAAATTCAGTGTTAATTTCTTTGAATCCCAACCATTTTTGTATGTACACACATAATACAATCTCAAAATTTTACATTTTGTATTCTGCAGGATCCTTTATTGAATATTGACCTGAATAGTTCCTCTGTTTGGATGGGAAATTGGTCTCAACTTTGCCCTACCTGCAAGGTTTACGCGATGTACATTCTTATGAGTATTATAAAAATATAATGCTGACAATTTACTTGTGTTTATGTTTTATTTTATTAAATTCTCAAAATAAGTTGTCACTTATCAGGTTTTCTCAAATTTATCATCAGATAATAAGACCTGTCCGATCCAAGCATTGTCCTACTTGTAAGCGCTGTGTGGAACAGTTTGACCACCATTGTCCGTGGATATCTAACTGTGTTGGGAAGGTAATTAGTGTTGTGCTATTTAAATTTTTACCCATTAGAACAAAACTGCATTCTATGATGAATTTCCTTTATTTTCTATGGTCTACTTATGAAGTTGTGATAGATGCATATGTGATAAATTAAATGAGGAGGTTTTTCCTTCCTCAATGGATATATTTGGTTGGGAAATAAAATACTCTATTCAACTTTTCTAGTCTAACCAAGAGCCACTTTCTTCTTTCTCTCATTCCACATATATTATGAGCCTTAATATTGTATTTGGTATGCATATTGCAGAGGAACAAGAGGGATTTCTTTATTTTTATCTGCATGGGAACTTTGACTTCTTTCCTAGCTGCTGCCATTGCAGTTCAAAGTATGACTTGAAGAGCTCTTGCTTGGACTGTTCACATATTGAAATGGTATAATTTATTATTTCTCTTGAACTAGATAACAGCCTTCTTTTCCATGACAGGAATTTGGACATCTACACCTGCATTACCAGCAGGAGAAACGTGGACCCATCATGTGTTAGTAAGATATCCAGGTCTTCTTGTGTTTTTGGTGATGGATGCTGTTGTTTTCATTGCAGCTACAACATTAACGATAACACAGGCCTCCATGGTGATTGCTGAAACCATACTCACCAATTTTTATTACAATAATCATTTAGGTTATTATCAGCAAATATACTAGGGAACATTACTAAAAAGAACTACTAATAAAAATTTATCAAGAGAAGGAAAAAGCGCCTATTTTTGTTAGAATGACCAGAATTTTGCTCCTTCATTTTTCATATTTTTGGTTTTTTTAAAAATAATTTACCAATAATGTTTTCATTTTATTCTGTTATTGCAACTTAGTATAGGGTTTAGGCTGGATGCAGTATCCATGTGCTACTCACATGAGATTGGATGTGGAAGTTGAGTATTAGGAATCAAATAATTAGACCTACTTTGACCCTTGTCCAACCATGAACCCAGCCTAATCCCATTACTACACGGACAAACTGCTACCAGAGTTCTCTAACCATTTTTTTGTTAAACAATACAAGCAAGATCATTTTTGTAACTTCTCTTGAATTGTTTTAGGTATTTTACTCCTTTTACTCAGATTTCTTTCATTGTTCCACCTTTCTGGAGCCTCTGTTCATCTTCTGACTTTACCAGACCATTCACCATCGTAGTCAAGTTTCTGTCATCTGTTTAATAGGTGTTACTGCTTTTATTTAGGAAATGATAGTGTCATTTTTGGGAAAAACAGAGAGACGAGTTTACCTCTGCTGGAAGCCACCATTTCATGTGCAAGAATTCACAAGTTCTGTATAAGAGTTGTTTACCTTTCTCTCTCCCAAAATGAAATGTCAAATTTAGGAAAAAGGAGATATCCACGAATGATATATTTTCCTTCAGTTAAACAGCTTGTTTCAGAGAAAGCTTCGAAATATACAAGCATCTCTCTTTTGCACACATTCAGGATTTTCATGTTTGTAAACTGTAATGCAGATAGCTCGAAATGTCACCACAAATGAACTAGCGAATTCCTCCCGTTATGAATATCTTCGTGGTCCTGATGGGCGGTTCAGAAACCCATATAACCACGGTTGTTGGAAGAATTGTGCTGACTTTCTTTCTCTGGGCTACACAGATGATAATGTTATTGCTTGGCCACCATTACAGCGGGTGGTGATTTAGAAAAATCTCTTTTGCCGTGTATGCATTGTATTACATAGCTCTAATTCATAGATATATAGATGATAGTCATTTTTCAGCTAGGCTGTAAACATTCACCGACACATGTACATTTTGTTACAGAGCACAGAAATAAAACATTTTCTTTTGGGCCATAAGAAAATACAAATTATTTGATGCAGCACTCGTGTGCCAGTTGTGCAATTGTTTGGTGGGATATCCATTACTTTAGCATTTAAAGGAATAAAACAAATATCTTGACTTTAATGGTATGCTTAGTATGAATGAAAATGGATTGGTGCAAGCGTAAGATGTGGAAAATGGCAATGAATTTTAAGACTCTCTTGATGTTCACGTTTGCCATCCTTTGATTTTCAGTCTTGTTTTTACTCTATATGAGTACGATTTGCCTTTAGTAGACAAATGAGATGAGATGTGTACAATTAAGAAGAGTGTAATTTTGATGTTAAGAGAGAGGAACTTCTAATGCGAACTCGTGATTTTCTCCAGGATATCCTCCTTTGACGCGATTACGGTCACTTGTAGACTCTTTCTGTTAAAAAAAAAAAAAAAAAACTCCGATGATTCTCGTGTTTCCTTGTAATAATTTTGAAAGCAGGAAATGGATTGAGAACAAAGTAGTGTTTTTACAATAATCATACAAAAATATCCAAACACCCTATGTAGTGTATCCAATCTACCAGGAGTGTTCTGAAAAATTGAGCAGCTCTGCAGTGGTTGACTCACTTAATACACGTCTTGTCAAATAAATAAAGGGAGAACAAATTTTTTCTAGTTTTTCTCCCATTGTGACTTTACAAACCAATTCAACCAACGACCCTGGTTTATCTAAGCAACAGTGCATTTGTTTCAACAATTTTCATTAGAATATCCTTAGTGAGTGCATTCTGATAACTCCGTAGCATACAGACTGATTTATCTGCCTAAAGTGTTTTCTAAGCAGACTCATGAATATGATAGTTATCATTATCATGTAGGATTACATGATATAAGTGCTTATAAAGGACAATTGTAGTCGCTTGATTTCATCCGCTTTTATGGAATTTGGTGGCGGCACAACGTCATGCTACGAAGGAAATTTCTCGTGCTAATGAGTGGTTCTTTGTTTAGTTGATAGGCATGACGACATAAAGTAAAAGCTGTACATAATCTCCGAAGGAAATTTCTCTTATTTGTTTCATTGAAAACAACAAAGAGAGGTTACTAATTTATTGATAACAAACTATTTTTGAATTTGAGTAGGTTTAAAGTCGCTTTATTGTACCTAATTAGTTTACAGAGTTTGCTAAACCACTAATTATAGAGTGATCATGCAAGTACAATGGAGAAATATAATGCTTCAAAAAGTCCATTTCTGCTGAATAGAAAGTTGATAAACTCGGGTGCCAAAAACAAGAGTTGATGAACAAGTAGCCAGTCTACAATAAAGGAGGAATATTTCTCTATATACTGTCTATGCATCTATATAAACTCAAAACTGGAGGGTAATAATATGATTGGATTTATGCCATAAAGAAAGTTTTTGCAAAACTCTTTTATTTAACTTCTTTCAAAATTTGAAGATATCAATTATTTTTAAATTATGAAAAAAATTATAAGTTTAGTTTGGATAAACTTGTCATCAAATGCTTATAAAAGTAAAAATTTAAATAATAAAATATATCAAATTACTTTTTAAGTTAAAATCAAATTAACTTATGCTTTTCTATTTTTTATAAATTTTTTATTTAACTTTTATAAACTTTAAAAAGATATTATTTTTAACTTCTAACAAATTATTATTTTTTATACTAATTGCTTTTATAAAGACTTTTATAAAAATTTACTCAAGAAACTTAAATGACAACAACTTTGCGGAAAGACCCACCAATGATTAAAATGAAGGAAGATTTTGGAAAGCGAAATTTGAGAGTTTGATCCGATGGCATTAGTAACATTATCGACCGTGGTTCCTGGATCAAAATGGAAAGTTATTTAGAGTTTCTTTGCCTAGACGTAGAATGGAAATGATTGAATTTGCATATAGATCTATTTTAAATTTAATTGTATGAATTCAATTTTAAAATAATCTTAAATCGACTTTTTTGGTATATTTTAAATCAATTTTAAATATGGGAAAATATATTATAAACATTTTTATACTATTATTAAATTATTATATTAAAAATAATTAAATTTCATACTAATTAATATAAAATTATATTTGTATATACTTTAATATGTTCATAATGAATTTTTTTTATACATATTATATTAAATTAATAAATATTTCCATATATTTTACTTTGAATTATCTATCCATTGCACAAATTAATTGTGCAAATTAAATTTTAAATTAATCTATTTTATTTTTTTAAAACCAGTTTAAACTAATTTTAAAATTTAAATTTAATTTAAAATCAAATTTAAATTTAATTTTTGTTGAAATCATTTTAAAATTCAATGGTTTACATTTTAGTTAGTTTGAATATAGTTTTACATTAACTTAGTTTTAAATTTAATTTTTAAGACAAATTGATTTTCAATACATTTCTAAATTTAATTTTTAAGGTAAAACTAATTTGTTATACTACAACATTACATTGAATTAGTGTCTTAAAAAGATTTTAATAATATTTATTAATTATATTATACTTTATAGAAATTTTTATAAAATATACATTATTATTTTAAATTTATTTTAATAAAATTAAAACTATAAAAATAAATATAAATAATAATAAAACATTAAGTTATAATATTTAAAAAAAATAAAAGAATAAATTTAAACATAAAAATAATAATATTAATTAATTTAAAAGTATTTTTTATATTTTTCTATCTAAAATATAATTATATTTTAAAGAATATATTAAATATTTAATCTTAATTATAAAAATTAAAATTAATAAAAAAAGATTAATCATAAAATGTATTCACGAAGAAATTTTGTAAACTGATTCAACGCGGAAGTCTAATAAATCAAACATGAGATAATACCTTCACACACAATATGAATTTGGATGAATAAAGTAAAATCTGATTTTAAAATCTGAATTTAAAACACTAAATCAATTACACTAATATAATAAATAAAAAAACTAGTTTAACATTTGTTATGAATTAGACATGCATAACTAAATTTTTTGCTCAACCCTACGGAGACGTGAAGTTGCATGTTTTAGATAATGTGTCAACAATATTATGAAATATTCATTTAAGGGGAAATAAAAATCCTACATATGGGATAACAAATTATTGCCATTTTTTTTTACATTGTACTTTTACAGACAAATTCCACCAAAGACTCCAGCTTTATCCAAATAAATGTCAAAGCCATGATGAGAGAGCCTATATTAAAAAACTGGTGCACCTTAGGAGACGGGTCCTCACTCTCCAGAAGCTGGAGATGAGAACACTGAATAAACATGTGGTAAGAAATGTACTTAACGCACCCTAGAAGATAAACCAAAAATAATTTGGATATTGGATATTGGATATAAGTAGCTGTCAAAGTAATTTCTCTTATTGAATAGGATTATAGTAGTAACGAAAATCCTCAACAGGAGGAATGGAGGAGGTCTTCATGGGCAGAGGCAGAAGGAGAAACATCAGCTCTGCTGGATTCCACTAGGCCATGACTGATTTTTAATAGGCTTTAGAATAACTTCAACTTCAGACAGAGCTTCTTCATCGATTCCAGAAGTTGCAAGTTCTCTTGCGGCAGCAACATTTTCCTCCACCTAATTGGTTAGATTTTCCAAGTTAGAACAGATCATTCTTATTAAGTGACTAATCCATATCGCACAAAAAACTAAACTTTAAGAAATTTTTGCATAAGCCTAGTGTAGGTGTACTAGGCCAATAATGTATCGACACATTATTAATTATAGTAGCTAATAATTAATTAACCGTGGTAATTGATCATTGAATAACGATGTGCCAATAATACTTTGCAGTACTAATGAACTAATGAACCCAACTGGTTTACACTAGGTTTATGCGAGATTTTCTCACCGTACCCTAAGCCTATTTAAATTGTAAGCATGAACAAATCTAGTGAGCTGCTTACATTGAATTTTCCATACTACTGTTGGTGGATAGCACGAGAAAGGATATTACCATGTTTACCTTGTCATACAATTTTCTATAGTACATCCTAATTACGTTGCATTAGCTTTTGCTTGAAGGATAGTAAAGCATGAATAGCAGAACTATGTGCAAATCGTTTGAACATAAAAATTTCTGCCGATTGTAAACTGTTTCAAAAGCCCCTACAATAGAAAGAAAAAGCTGGTAGAGCTTGTCTCCCCCTGCCCGCACCCTTCTTGAAGGTAAAACTATCAAACGAAAAAACTGGAACACAATATAGGTTCATAATCATCCGATTTGAATGTTCACATCACACACATCTTCGGGTGTAGGAATAGTTCAAGTACAAAATGTTTACATAGCTCAGCAACACCAACTCATAAAAAGACTTTCTATAAGGTCCATCAATACACAGATAATATGTGATTATATGAATATGATAAAAGACATACAATCAAATGAAAAAGAGTGCTGCGACAGTAGTAAAACAAACAGCTACAGTTTGCAGGACTACCATCAATTAAAGCCAGGAAATTTCCTTAAGATGCATTTTAATCTTACAGTGCTGTCCCTTAACTTGCAGTATCTAATAAAACACATTACATTGTACCTTTATTTATATGCTCATGAGTCATGACTGATTTTTTTGTTTAGCTGGTAGTGGTAGGTATGAAAATGACAGATTGGAAGAAGTGTTCATATTTTACAGGGGAAACTTCTCACATATGCTTCAATGAAAACAACACAGATAGAGGGAAACTAATTTACAGACCAAGCCATACAAAATATTTTGAGCAAGGTTTCATGCATCATCCACAAAATTCCACATATTTTCAGAATAAAGATATATACAATTAAATATGATAATTCATGAAGATTATGAAGCCAAACCTGTTCAACAGATTTCATGCCCACAAGCACTGATGTGATTTCTTTATTTAACAAGCTGTACTGCATTGCTAATTTTGAAATGTTTTTTCCCTTTTCTTTACAATAGGTGGCAGCAGCTTGACATGCAGACTGCAAAGTATTAAAATACCAAGAAACAATTTAGTTTTGATAAAGTATCTACCAGACAAAAACAAAGATTCAATAGAGATGTAGTTCAAAGATGTTTGAGAGCATCATAGTAGGCAATAATTGGATCTGGATGATCAAAATAATAAAGACAATTGCCTAGTCTAGCAAAAGAATGTTGAGTAGAACTAGTTCACATTTTCTCCACTGATATATATATTAACTACTGTTAAATCTTACACATAGATTAAGCATTTTCCGTTTGGATATGAAAATTGCAGTGGTAGAAGAAATTTAATAAAAAATAACAAACTTTTGGCAAATGACGGTATGCGTACAATTCATAATCAAACACATTCGCTTGATTAAATCAAACATTGCCGTGATTATCACTTCTGATTTAAATTTCTTATCAGATATTCATTACCTAACATGAACAGAACTATGCACAACGTAACGCACACCAAAATCAGTACAATATATATTTGCAAAAATAACCACATCACAGCACACCTTGAGTTCCGGCGAAGCTGGATGCCATTGCGGAGGGCCAGCCTCAGTGAGAAGCCCCATGGCCAACGGAGAAGCATTGATGATACCAACACCTTTGGCCTTCAAATAGGGAATCAAACCCTCCAAGGTCGAATCATTGATACAGTGATGGCAATAAGACAACACAACATCTAGCGTTCCAGGTGGAACCCTATCAAGCACGTAGCTGTAAATTCCCAAAGGAAGCCCCGTAATGCCAATGAACCGCGTTTTCCCTGCTTCCTTCAGTTTCTGAAGCGCAGGAATCGTTTCATTCACAATCTGTCTCCACCAAAAAAGAAAAAAAATTACTTCACAGTTATAATAACATAACACTACAATTTCAGAAAAAAAATGCTACCTACACACACTTTAATTAACTCTTTATAATTGGTTAATTTTTTAAAAAGTCAAAGCACTTGAATCATAATTGATCATTATTAAAAAATGACTTTAACTTAAAAAAGACCAATTATAGAGTGTGTTGCTAATATTCTTGTTTAGAAATATACAACACAGGACATGGACCTGGTCTAAAGACCCAAACTCAATGTCATGGCATTGGAGAATATCAACATAATCAAGTTGCAATCTCTCCAAGCTCTCTTCTATGCTTCTGGTTACTCTCTCTGCACTGAAATCGAAACCCTCCTTGTAGCGACCGCACTTGGTTGCTACAACGTATTCAGTTCTAGGAACAGCCAGAGCCTTTAAAGCCTTTCCCAGCATTTTTTCCGACAGCGTCCCTCCATAATAGCTTCAAATTTCAGAACAAAACAACATATACAACGTCGGAAAACAAAACGAAACAAAAAATGATTATTAAAAATTGTAAAAGAAAAGAGCATACGGAGAAGTGTCGAAGAAGTTGATGCCAGATTGAAATGCGAGGCGAACGGAAGCAATGGCTTGTTCCTCGGAAACAGTACCGAAGACATTGCCGAGTGGGGAAGCTCCGAATCCAACGCTGCTCAGCTTCAGTCCTGTTCTTCCAAGCTCACGTAACTCCATTTTTCTCATTCATTCATGTTTCTTTCATCTTCAAAATATATTTATAATCATTGAGTTTTTGTTTTTATTTTTTGGGGGGGGGGGGGGGGGCTGGACTCTTTCACTCAGGCCCAATGAAATGTTTTTTAATATTATTTTGGAAAGGGCAGTGGCCCATGAAAGAGACAAGTGCTAATCCGTTTAATGTGGTTCGTGTGGTAGACATTAACCCCAGTGTTGCACCATTTAAACCATCATAGGAAAAATTTTCCGTCTAGATAGATACTCTTTTCTTTTATATGGCAATACCCATATTTAAGTATAATTATTTTTTAATTTAAAATTTTTAAAATTAAACAAAGTGAAGTTACGAAATAAAGCAATGTAACTCTAAAAGTATGCAATACAGGAAAAATTTATTCCACCAGAGGAATATCTGATTTTTTAAATGATAATAAATAAAAATGTTTAGGACGATATACTTGTGAAAATGAAAGATTATAAATTTGTAATGATTAATATACAATAAAAAATGATGTAATGTTGGATGCAAAATTAAATTAAATCCATATTTCAACATATATGAAGGAAATGATTTTAGATTAATGTGGAAATATATTTGTGTAACTTCAATACTAATGTGTGTTCATATAAAATTTTCTTTACGGGTCATGTAAATACTTAACCCCATGATGCAAATATTTACTTATATAACTTAAATAATAATATACTTGTATAATAATGCACATATTTATTCCTCTAATTTAAACGGTTATTTATTTTTTATATCAAAGATTAATGAGCTTAGTTTTAATATATTATTAATGTAATTTTTTTTACATTACTAAACAATTAGTATAAAACTTTTCATTTGATTAGCATTAGCTTTCTTCACTCTAACGAACAGTTCATCCCATCTTAATGATTCACCAGTGTATTGGTCTATGGGCCACACCAAAAACTTTCTTCACTACTTTAGTGCATTTGAAAGCTAGAAAATGATGATGATGTTGATACGAAGCATATTGTATTAACTTTACTTAATTATGTAATTTATTGGCTTTTAAAGAAATATAATGATCCTTTGTACAGAAACTTTTGTCTTACAATTCCATAGGATTGGTGGTGCTTTAGTTCTAGAATTATTAGTTTCCTCCTCCACTTAGTTCATTGTACTATTCGATGACTGTAGCACCTTTTAACTAACAAAATTTTGAATCCAAGATTATTCAACCTAAAGAAGGTGTAATAGATATTTAGCTCTAAAAATATCAATTTGGAATTTTATTAATTTGGCATTTGTATTCTCTTGTATCCCTAACCTATTGCTTCAAATTCCACATGCTTCCAACCTCTGAAGCATGATCGAATATTCACCATTACAGAAAATTAGGATTTCACAACTATATGTAATATTAAAGTTAAGGGTATGAAGCATTAAAGTGTAACACTTTCATAGAAAAAGATTTCAAACCAAAGTAGTAATTTTGACTTAACTAATTACTTGATTGTTGACTAGGTTAAAATATTGCTGCAATATATGAAAGCATTTTGTATGAACTATCCTTTGATAAGATCAATAAGGTTTAATTAAACTCTAAATGCTCTTATATATATATAGATATATTTTTTGTTCATTCAATTTAATTTGGATCTAACTCAAGTCGTATACCTAGATGTGGTGGGTGAGTCTACCACTGAAAATTATTTGCATACAAGACTCAAACCTGAAACATTGCTTAAGCGATATCAAATTGCTTGTCACTTGGACTAAGTTCTTGGTTATGACAATATATTTTTAACACAAAATGACGTTGTTTTATAATTTTTTAAAAAAATAATTCATTTTTGTCTCTAATTTTTAATATTTTTAAATAATAAGGTTCTTTCTTATCCTTTGTTTCACCTTCTTGTATAGTGTTTTTTTCCTACCTCCAACCATCATTATAATGACATTCATGCTGTAAAAGTTGTCTTAAGTTTTTGTTCGTTGCATTACTATATCAAAGTCTCAAATTTGTGAGTGAATGAATTTAGTCAAAGAGTCTCGTATATAAGATAATGAGTATATTAACTATGTGAGTTTATAGAATTTTATAATTATTGGTCACACTTCCTTTAGAATTACAAATGAAAAATTCATTTATTTACTATAATCATATTGATCCCTTTTTTATTGTAATGAAGTTGTCATTATAATCATATTAGTTTCATTGTTCTTATAATTGACAGTCTATAGCAGCAGTGATTGAAGGAAAAAAAAAAAAAAGACACGGTAGAAGAAAGTAAAATAAAAGATAAAAAATAATTTTATTACTTAAAAATGTTAAAAATTAAAATAAATTGTTTTTAAAATTTTTTAAAACAGAATCATTTTATATACAAAATAAACTAGTTTAACGTAATAAGTCATTAAACTTATCGTTTAATTTTAAATAATAAAAACTAATATGATTAATGATTATTAATTTTAATAACTACAATTTTAAATATTAAATACTAACTTTTGTCAAATTACATATTTTAGAAACTAAATGAAAGTTAACCTTTTTAATATCTCATATTATGCCATAACTCACGTAGGAATATTTGAAAGTCACTCTCACTTAAGTGAATACCACTATCTTCATAGCATAAAAGTAGGAGAGGTCACGGTGGAAGTTCTCCATGGTGAAGTCGCGAAGGCAGTAGAGGTAGACGATACCAATATTGTCGACGTCGATGCAAATGAGGAGGTGAAAGTTGTAGAAGATGATGAGGCTGAACTTACGGCAGAAGGTGGCAGATCAAATGGTGGAGTAGGTGAAGTAAGAGGAGTGGTGGGGCTTAATGGAGAGGCTCTCTGATGAAGAGGAAGAAGGGAGGAGGTTGAAGGAGAGACAACTAAAGCCGACGTTGCAAATGCTTTCTTTACTCATTGAGGTGGAATTCACATGCTTCAACTCATTACAGAATCATAGAAATTAAGCAGAAGAAGAATTGTAGCTGAGGAGTTATGCAATTGCATCGTCACCCAAATAGAGAGAGTAGTGGGTCAGATTGGCTTAAGCATGGTTCATGATCTTAAGTCTAGCTTGCAAATGTTCTTCTGTCTACTGTAAGTTTCGTGGCATAATTTGAGCCATTAAAATAATTGAACGAATGTGAGTTTTTGAACTTTTTGCTGTAGCCGAGGAGAAGAGGAAGAAAAAGATTGTCGTCATCTATTAAATATTAAATAAAAAATTAACGATTAGACAAAATTTATTTAGTTAAAAAAATATGAAAACTAAAATTATGCGATTAAAAATTAAGAGATTAAAATCAAACAATTACAAAGTTTGAGAGACCAAAAATGTTATTAAACCATAAATAGATTATACATTTAATAGCTGTATGTGTATGTGTGAAACTCTTTTATTGTTGAGATATTTAACATGATCGTTAACTATCTATGTGTTTTTTATGTGTACAATTCGTTAAATAAAAACAGTTTTATTTAAAAAGGAAGAAAATGAGTTTTACCTCGTTATACTAGTTAACGGTCAATTTGAATATTTGAGAGTTTTTTTGTATTGCAAAATTTTAAAACTTGAAATCTAAATTACATATAACAAAAAGTATAAGAGAGTGAAGCATAATTTTCAAATATATTTGAGAATAGATCATATTATATCAGTACTATGTAAGTTACACCAATAATTACATTGTTAATAACTTAAGAAAAAAATATGAATTTTTTCAATCTCACTATTAAATTATAATAATATATTATTTTAATTATTTGTGTTAAATTTTATTAAATTTAAACAACTATAATAATGTAGTTAAAGAATCTCATTTTCATATAATTCAAAAGTATATTTACATTAATTTTAATGTATTTGAATAAAGTATCAAATAATTTTAAACTAATCTAAAATTTTGCAAACATAATTTATGTGATAGAAGTTTTTAATTTAATTAATAGTCTTATAATAAAACTATCCATTAAAAGTTATTTTACGTAGATATAATTTAATTTATACATGTAAAGGCACACACTATAGCATGCTAATTTCAGATGTTGGAATAAACAAGAAGGTTATTAAGGCTCTATGGTTGGGTACTACGCTACTTTTTGGTGTGGCTTCAGAGGAATGGTGGTCTTTTAAGAAAATTTCTCAATTTTAAATAAAATAATTTCTTTAGAAAAATGACTTTCAAATCAGCCTCACGTTACATTAAGAAGTCACCAAGTAATGATGATATTCATAGAGTTTATTTCGAGAGATTAATCAAGCATACTGAGACTTGATTTAGATTTTTTAAATCAAAGGTTTGATTTTTTTTAATCTTTTTTTGTGTGTGTGTTTTCTGGGGATAAATAAGGACTATTTTTTTTAAGGCATAGAAATTATCAAATAAGCGTTATCTTTTTCATTAATATATAAATTAAATTCTTATTAGCATGCTTAAAAGACACAACATACTTACTCTGTTAAAGCGAGATAAAATTTATTTATTTTTACCTAATTTAAATGTTTCTACCGTTTTTTATTTTTAAAATTTATCCTCTTTTCAACAAATAATTTCAAATATCATTCTTTTTTCTGAAATTTCTTTTCAACCAACTCAAGTATGTAAGAAGCACTAATCTCATTTTTCATTTGTTAGATGTGACCTAAGCTACGCACCAATTATTTTTGAGTTATTTTATTTTTATAACATTCCTTACAATTTATTTTTTATTCTTTAAATTATGTTATTTAGTTTATCTTTATGTCTCTTTTGATAGAAAGAAAACTATAAAGCACAGTCTAAGAATATAATTTATAATTATTCTTTGGCTCCCCCCGTCACCTTTTCTCTTTATATTATGCTTTCATAATATTTTTTTTACAATTCATTTTTTTAACCCTTTCAATGACATCACACGTTTGATGTTACACTACTCATCTTTTCATTTCCCTTGCAACAGGAAAAAGTCGTAAAACAAATGCTAAGAATATAAATTGTAATTATTCTTTGGCCTCCACCTTCATCACCTTTTCTCTTTTATTAAATAATATCAATTTTAGATCGACCTGAGCAGAACACCACAGTGCTCACACCCAGAAATTCTCTAAGAAAATGTCATCATGGTCCAGTGGCTTGTGCGATTGCTTCTCTGACTGCAGCGCATGTAACTATATCAACATCTCATCCTACATGCGTTTAATTTATTATTAATTTCCCGTGCTGTAATATCTTTACCACCTACGGTTATACAAACATATGCTATATATACATAGCAAAAGATCGAATAATTTATTTAAAAATTTTCAATTTGATTCATCAGGTTGCCTCTCGTGCTGGTGCCCGTGTGTTAGCTTCGGAAGGATAGCTGAGATCGTGGACAGAGGAAACACTTGTAAGTGTGGTAAAGTGTGTGATTGAAAAGGGACATGAATTTATATAAGTAAAATTGAATATGACTAAAGTTAGCGTTGTTGAATTTGTTTGTACCGGGAACGGGATGCAGCTTGCTGTCTACAGGGAACACTTTTCTACCTATTGGGTGGGTTTACTCATTTTGCGGGTTTCTACGGTTGCATTTATCGTACAAAACTGAGGAGGCTATATGGGATTAAGGGACACCAGGGCACGGATTGTTTGGTGAGTTGCCTCTGCTCTCCCTTATCCATTTGCCAAGAGTATCGTGAGCTCAAAGCCCGTGGATTCGACATGTCTGCTGGTAATTAACTATTATTTCTCATCCTCTGTTGCTTTTCTTCATTTCTTCCTTTATTAATTAAAAGAATCTCTCTCTCAGTAGAGGGAGCAACACCAAATGAAGGATAAAGCAGTTTTTACATTTTTTGGTTTTTACCTTTTTTCTTTAAATTTTCATCTTTATATATCGTATTACTTACTAAAATGTTAATTTCAGTATTTAAAGTTAAATTTAAATTTTTAATAATAATGATAGTAAAATTTTATTAAAAAATATTTATTAAATTTTGAGTGACTCATCTTTCTAGTGTGACTAGAGTTACTCACAAAATAGACTTTTCAAGAAAAACTCTTCAACACGTAGATACTGAGAATATTTTTCACATTACAGGGTAACAGTGTAAAACTACAGTGTATTATACATGTTAGCTTGTAGTAATTACTTGTCTACTACTCTTACCCTTTTCAACAAACACTCTAATAATCTAATTCTTATATACTATCTTTTGAATATGTAATCAAATAGACATTAATACAAAAGAAAAATTCACGTAAGAGAAAGAAAATTAAAATTTTCTTTCAATATTTTATTGACTTTAACAGTGTAATACATAGTACAGAAAGAAACTTTTTTAAAGACTTTATAAATTAATATAATATTATATTTAAGAAATCTATATAAAAAAAAAAAGAAAAAATAGCTTAATAATTGGTTACTATGTGAACGCGCAATTTTTTTTTACCATTACAATTTGAGGATTATAATTATCCCATAATTTCAATTTTTAATATATTTAGATTTATAAAATTATATATAATAGTGCGACTTTACAGATATTTATAATTATAATGTTGTTATCTTTAAGAAATTTAATAAAAAATTATTATTTTATCATAAAGTAAAATTTGGTCCAATAAAAATTTATGATGTGCTTAATTTATTTTTGAAAGAATACATAACAACTTTTCTCGAAGATATTTTTTAAAATTTTAATAATTATTCTTTAACAGTTTGAAAGAATAATTGTTCTACAATTTAATAATTTAATATGAAATATACTCTGACGATGAAATGTTGAAATATATAATAGGTTGGGAAGGGAATGTGCAAATGCGTACGCGCGGCGTGACGGCAGCTCCAGCAGTGGAAGGTGGCATGAGCCGTTAGACAGTCGTAGGTTGATGCAAGTAATGTGGATGCTGTTGTTGGTCCTCGTCGATCAGCGTTAGTGGCTTCTAGTAGCCACTGATAGTGAAATAAATCGTTGTCTCTTGTCAAATATTACAACACGACCGTGTCATGCGTGCGTGCTCGAGTCCTTTTGTCCTGTGTCTACAGTAATTGTACCACTAATCTAAATATTCCTACAATTATGCGTGTGGCTATTAAAGCATAATAAAAGTAATTATAAGTTATTACTGTGAACGGATGTTTTTTTCTTTTTCTTTTTTACATTTAAATATATTTTTAAGTTTTTAAATACATCAGTTTTTTTTTTAGTTTTTATAATTTTCATTTAATTTTAGTCTAAGTGTTTTTTTTAACGTGTGTCTTTAGTTTTCATGTTAATACAATAATAATATGTTTAGCGATGACTCCCACGAATGAAATGTCGTGTCATTATTGCCTAATATATTATAAATTTTACTTAAACTTGTTTTTTATTTTTTATAAATATATTACCCTTTAATTTAGTCTTTTTGTAAAAAAAATTTATCTAACAGTTTTTTTAATATTTTATTTTTAACCCTGCAATTAATGGTAAATTGTTAAGTTATAAAGTGACAGAAGCGTGATTGTTGGATTACAAGATTTTGTTGGCTTTCTGTTTTTAAAAATAATTTTTTTAAAAGTAAAAAAAATTATTTATTAACATAAATTTTATTTTTCATTAATTTTTAAAATAATTTTAAAATATAATTTTTAAAAATTTAAAACTAAATCAGAAATAAATAAATCGTAAGTCTCGAAACAGAGTCTCCATCACTTGAAAGGCAAGTAGAGACCTTCTCATTTTAAAGTAATATGTTATATATTTTTTTAATGATATATTTATTATTTTATTCTCTAATGTTTTTAAATTATAAAAAATTAATGGTTTTATTGAAACCGTTAATTCAGCCTGTAAAATTATGATAAAAATCTCTAAACTTCTTTAAAACTAACTGTTTAAATTTTAAAAATTATAAATATTCATCAATTTATTTTCTAACATTTTTAAAAATATCCATCAATTGAGAAGATGAGTGACTTGGAGAAAATTAGTTTAAGCGAGTTTTAAATTTACTTAAGTAAATTTTTTTTTAAAAAATTGTGCTTATTTTTGACAAAAAATGAAACTGAATGCAAGATATTCATATAGGCAAAAAAAAATTAAAAAAATACAGTCAGTATTATTTGATTTTTAATATAAGTTTGAATGAAAGACAAGCAATAATTCACATTATGTGCTTCTGTAATGAACATATATTAGACATTATGAGCATTCTGAACTTGGTTTTTGTTGAATGATTACTCAACTGACCTATTCCTCTACTACTTTACTTTCTTTCTTATATAAAACCTTTGAATAAATAATCTTATTTTTTTTCTAAATTAATATGTAATTTTATTTATTTAAATGTTATGGTGTTAATATTCATTAACTTTTAATTGGCTATTACCCTTATTAATATAATGCAAGAGCATTTATATTATTTTAAAAAAACTTACGTGCAATTATTTAGGTACTTACAGTATTATTTACTAATTAAATTTAAGGTTTTATTTTGATACATTTCTTCTTATATTAATTATTGAAATGTTTATGTTCAATAATTTTATATTTTATAATTTTTTGAGGAATTCACCATGACACATTTTTTTTACTTTATATAATATAATAAATTTTCTTCTCTGGCGTAACTTTACAAAATCTATTAAATGAGTCTCACAAATTATTTCATATTATTAATTTTTAATTTAATTTTTATTTTAAATCAATAAAAATATAAAACATATATTAGTATATTATAAAAACAACAAATTTATTTCTACTATTTTACCAAATATTTAGAAATTTTCTAATAGGTTAAAACATACTTTTTTGTCCCTATATTTCCTTCAATTTTAGGTTCAGCCCTGTAATTTAAAAAATTGATTCCCAATCCCTACACTCTTGTCTGTAACGACATTAATTATTTACCGACGTGGCTAACCTATATGGCGCTTACATAGACAATCATGTGATCTACCCTAATGTCCTTGGTCATTCACATCATTTTCCTCCACAACTTCCTCATCTTTCTTTTCGAACTTCATTATGTAAATTGTAGGTTCCATGAATCTTTATTTGAGAGATTCATTGCAGTTCTAATAACATTCTTCTTTAAAAAAGGTAAGACTTAAGGTTCATAGTAGAAGTACAATTGCATATGAATAGTAACAATGATCGAAGTAATTCACTTTGCCAAAGATATTATAGTTGTGGAGGAGGATTTGTATCTCAAATAATGATACAAATCTAAGAAGAAGGTTTTGGGGTGTCCAAACTTTAGAGCGTATAACAATTTTTTTGGTTGATGGTTGAAAGTGTTATTTCTAAATTTTTAACATATGTTCCTATTAATAGGAATCATAGTTTGGCCAAATTTTTTCAATGGATCATAGATCGTCCACTGCATGAACATTCAAGGAATGTTATACAAGGACAACAGAGAACAATTGAGAAAATAAAAAATCAGTTGAGAACATACATGACTATCATATGCAGTTCCTGGGCCCATCATAATATTGTTGCTATTTGATAATTGTGTTCTTTAACTAGAATAACAATGGGATAAGAAAAATGTGCTAAATAGATGACAAGAGAGTCATATATACTGGAAGGTGAATTATACGATATAATTTTTCCACATCAATTTAAGTGAGTAGGACACATGGTTATTCATTTAAATGTCACATAGGCAACGTTAGCTATGCTAGCAAAAAAATTGACACCACAAAAGTAATGATAGGAACTAAACCAAGACGTTATTAAAAAAATACATGGGCTTAGAATTAAACTATTAAAATATAGAGACTACAACCAAATTCAAAAGAAGGTATAAGAACTAAAAATGTATTTTAATCTTAAACATATTTCTACTGTTTTATTCTGTCAGCAGTGTGTGTGTTGATGATGGAGACGATGATGACATTGTATTTTTCTCTGCGTAACCCTCTTCCTCTCTTCCACAGCCGAAATTATGGTTTCCTTTTCAAAATAAATTGTGGCATTAATTTCACCATTTTTGGAATCAATTTGTGGTGACGATTTCTGATTGTATTTTTGGGGTTGTTTTATTTTTATTTTTTATTACTGCTGTTGTGAGATATGGTAAATCATTGGACCCATTTTATCTTATAAAAAACGATTGCTTGTGCAAGATATGTATGGTTATTGGTTGCATATTATTTGTGCTAGCTAATATTACTTTAATCCTAGTTGACTTCTAATCCTAAAAACTTTTGATGGAACGGTTCCTTATACTAAGAAATTCTTTAAAAAAAAACCCTTGTTAAAACAAGCTGTTCTAAAAAAGTATATCTTAAAAGAAATTGTTTTAAACTTTAATTTTTCTAAAAATAAATAATCTATTGTCCTCTCTAAGACTAAGCTAAGACCGCAAATAATTATCAAGCTTTAATATTTCTAAATTAAAAGAATTTTATTAAATGTTAAATGATTAAGTACTTACTGTAACTGTGTTAGAAGTCTTTTTACTTGTATCATTCAATTTTATTTCCTTTAATTTGAAGTCTTAAATTAAGTTTATTATACTGCTAAAATCTATAAATATATAGCCTCTAAGTCTAACTAATGACATATTCAAAGTGTAATAGATGTTTCATTAATTTATTTGCTTTGTATATTTTTGCCTGAAACTCAGTTTACCGGTGTGAAGGTTTAATGATCCTAATTAGGTCTCAGTATTGATCCAAAATTTATGGCATTATCAAATGCAATTGTGATTGTATACGGTTTTGTAATTACAATAGATCCCGCCATTATTTCTGTAAATTTTATTTTATTTGTGTCTTTCTGTTTTGAATATAATGTTTATTAATTTTTTAAAAGTTAATAAAAATGAATAATTTTTCAACAATCTTAAACCTTTCAAGTTAGCGGATATTTAGTTTAAATTATTCAAAAATATTCATTTTTATTAATTAAAAAATAAGAAATAAAAAATTATTTATCTAAAACTAAATTCAACAAAAACATCTACTCAATGCAAGAAATATTTGAAAACTCTTTTTTTTTAGTATTCTCTTATGGCCTATGATCATTATAGTACTTGTCTAATAATTGGTTAACGTCATTTCTTACTTCCTAGCAAAAGACAAAGTATAATAATTTCAATATTGAATATCATTTAGTTGAAGTGTGTTCACTTAATATGCCTATTTCAATGGGCCACACCATTATCCAAGGATATGTTTTTCACCGTCACACATGCTACTATGGAATTGGCTAAAAACTTCACAAGTCAATGGAAACTGTTGCATTTCACTCAAAATTGCTGAATGAATAATTAATTAAGCTCATAATTCATATTTGAAAAATGCAATAATCAATGCTTATCCATGACGGGTATCTACTCACATTATCACATAGACTTTTATTATTTTGTTAATAGCTAATTGGGTTGGCCAGCAAGCTCTAATTGCTGGCTTCTTTGTTATCTTGCAAATGATCTTTGACCAAGGAAACGAAAGATGAGAAGGAAGGGGCAGAGAAAGTAACTTAAGGAAACAAGCAAATAAATACGTACGTACCTTGAGGCTTTGGACATGGTGAGGGACCACTTGCTCAACAATGATCCTTTAATTTGCAAGCTTTTGATCAGGATTTCAATGACTAGTGGGTGATGAACACCACAAAGTCCACAAAACAACAGAAGTTAGAGGAATTAATTTACCATCTTGAAGGCAACCTCTAAATATAAAATGAGTTATATCTATGTTCACTGATTGAAAATATTAGGCATCTAAGGTTGTCTAAGCAGATTCACATCATAAAACCCGTGAGCATGATAATGTAACTGTTCTATAAGTTGGGATACAGGAAAGTCAAGTAGGACAAAATTATCACAATAACGAAATATATAAGCGGCAGCTGCCGGGACATAGTACCCTCACATTGATGAGGACCAGCAATTAACACTGAATGCTGCTATATCTGCTTAAAGAGTAAGCTTCTTATCACCATCAACCTTTCACATTATTGGTTAAGATCTTTATAGTCTATGAGTGCATGTGCCAAACAATGTAATTGATCTAGACACGTGTATGGGAAGTGTTGTGGTTTGATCATGATTTCTGATTTAATGGTCATTTACATAAGTTACCATCAACTAGTTGAAATTTAAGTACCAAAGCTTATCAGCATTTAGGTGATCTTGACTTCTCTTCTCCAGGAACCTTGAGCTCTTTTGATTGCAGAATTAGTTTACTTATGGAGATTCCATCGATCAGAGGGTTACTTGATATGGTAAGCATTAGGTCTTTTGAATAGTTATTGTTGATCAGTCTAAGGTAAATTAATTCATGGTCATTCAGTTGATACTGGTCTTGTGGGCCATTTATTAGTTTTTGCATAGGTTAAAATCAATTTATGCATCTCATTTTTTAAATTGAAACTTATTAATATTTTTAAAAAAAAAAGAAGCATAAGTTTATTTTTAATTTATAAGAATTTATTTTATTTTACTTTTTGTCCTGCAAGTTTTCGTGCGAAAACTTACTTAAATTGAGCCTAAAACAAATTTGGAACAAGGCAAATATCTAATATAGCAATTAGCAAGAGATGGATATACTAACCTTTGTGGCTGGAGCTTGGTTTATGAATTGCCTATGAACATTCTGAAAGTTGTTTACGGTTAGTATGGAGTTTTTTTCATTTTGCAGGAGCAGGAAATAATGGAGGATCCTACCTTTCTCCATCAGTGGCACTTGAATTCTATTGATGAGCCTAGCTTATTGCCAATAGCTGCTGCTTTTGGAGAAACATTACAACATCATGCATTTACTTACCCAAACTCGAACCCCAAAACTTCAATGGAAACTGCACTTGTTGATATGGATAGACCCACAAAACATCTCAAAAATAACAGCTGGAATCCCAGCAAAACTGCCCAAACATCAGAGACACAATTTGTTTCTTTTCCAAATCTCCTTTCATTTGTGGATTCCAATCACATAAATCCATTGGGATTTCTGAAGCCTAAGGATGAGATGGTTTGTCCTAAAACCAATAACACAATTCCTCCAGACATGATCACCCAAGGAACCTTGTGTAATCAAAACTGTGTCTTCAAAACCTGCCAAGAAACCAAAAAGATTGAGACACGTCCTAAACTTTCTCAACCTCAAGACCACATAATAGCTGAAAGGAAGCGGCGAGAGAAGCTCAGCCAGCGGTTCATTGCTTTATCTGCTCTAGTTCCTGGACTACAAAAGGTATTAAATATAAAACAATGATGATCTTGGTCTTTTAATTTTGGAGAATATTTTTGAGTTGCATATATATACAAAATAGATAATAAATAAGAGAGATAGTGTACGGTGTCACATACGGTATCAATTTTTAGATATTGATCAAATCACAGAACTAATATCAGATTAATAGTGTAGTTGTAGTTGGATTATTAATTTGTGTGCATCCTGTAAGCTTCTAACAGATACACATTTGTCTCGTTTTTAAGTAAATATGGATCTATATTCATTTCAACTTGAAACTAATATAGATAATTGTATCCATTATAACTTACAATGTTAATTTTAGATATTCCAATGACATAAAAGAAAATAGATTAATAATAGTTGTACTTGCGTTATTAATTTGTGTCTATCATTTAGGCTTCTAACAGATATACATTAGTCTCATTTTTCAATGTGTACTATCAGACAGACAAAGCTTCTGTTCTTGGAGATGCTATCAAGTACTTGAAGCAATTGCAAGATAAAGTGAGGGCTCTTGAGGAGGAACAAAACATGAAGAAAAATATGGAATCTGTGGTAATTGTGAAAAAATCTCAACTATCCAATGATGCTGAAAACTCATTTTCTGAATCTGATGGTTTATTTGATGAGGCACTGCCTGAAATTGAAGCAAGATTTTGTGAGAGAAATGTCCTCATAAGAGTTCACTGTGAGAAGAGCAAAGGAGTTGTAGAAAACATAATCCATGCAATTGAGAAAGTCCATTTGAAAGTCACCAATAGCAGTGCCATGACATTTGGGCGGTGCGCCCTTGATATAACAATTATTGCTCAGGTAATTTTTCTACGTATTGTATTTCAAAGCCGGGAGTTCAAATAAATCAACAAAAAAATAAAAATAAAAATAAAAGTAGGATCTCACTATTTTTAAGGAATCAGTAAATAGTAAAATTTTCTTGAAAATTAAGTTAAAATGCATTGAAAAAACAGACATAAGTTCATTTTTATGTTTTTTAACAAATATTTTTATTTTTAACTCCTTAATTAGTATCACATGTTAGCATTTTTCTTTAAACTATTCAATTAAGTTCCTTACGTTGCAGTGATATCTGAAGTAGTCATGAAACATTTGTTTATGACACTGTAGAATACGCATACTGTCAATTGCTATCTACGCATTAGTTTTCATGATCTTTTCCCCCACAAAACTATAATTTTCTCTAAATATGGAAATTATTTCTGCAATTTGCAGATGGATATGGAATTTTGCATGGGAGTGCAGGATCTTGTGAGAAACCTACGCTCAACTTTTACATCTTTCATGTGAGGAACTTCGGTTAGCTAATATTAAAACATAAGAAGAACAGAAGTTTATGATCAAGTTTATAGCAGTTTAAAGTTGAAGTTCTACCTTAATATATGTCTGTTATCTCATCTACTTCAACCATATTCTCCTTTATGCATGGTTAACTCGTTGACCATTTCATTGGCTCCGTTTCGAGTATCAACAGTGACTATACAGTTGGTTAGACATTTTTTTGGCAGGAGGTTGAAAAGTTCAACCGGTCTGTTTTGTGTACTTTTCTTACCTAAATCTGATATTTCTTTGTTCAAACAAAATATGATTGGTAAAAGTTGTGAAGAGTCTGAATAGTTCGCAGGAGGTTTTAAGTCGAAACCTCGTGCAACTCTTGTACCAAAAAATATATACTTCATAGAACTTTGATCGACATTAATGGAATAATTGTATCTCTTACAAAATGTGTATAATTTAAACTTTTCCTATACACGTCACATTGATGGAGGACGCTCGGAACCTGATATGTTGCAAAAACAAATATTATCAATGCCATTCTATCATAACTCAATGATATATAGAGGAAATGTGAGTTAGATTGATCTCTCATAAACAGTGCTATAAAAACCTGGTTAAACTGAACAATTCAGTAGTTGTTTGGTTAGCATAGAATTACATCCCTGACATATTTATTTTTAAGGTAAACTTGGTTGTTAAAATTAATTAATCACCCATCGCAATTATGTTAACTAGTTTGAAATTAATTTTAAAACTTAAAACCAACAGACAGTGTTGGTTAAACAGTGAATCAATTATGTCTTCGGTTTAATTATTTTTTATTATCTTTTCCACTTTAATCATTAAATTATTTGATCAAACAAATTAAAATATGCCTCAGAGTTTATATTAGCTAGTTCAGTTTTTTAAATATTTCGTAAACCAAAATTTACTCCATACTTTAAGGTTAATTGCTTGTAATTATTCATATTAAATCTTTCATCCTAAAATTTTACGTAATAACTAATTAACAAAATATAATAGAGATATGACATATTATTAAATAAAATATGTAATTAAAAAAATTATAATGAAATGTATAAGCTATATTAAGTTGTTTTACTTTTTATTTATTATTATTATTATTATTAATCTTTGCAAATTAATGATATATCATATTTTTATTATATTTTTTTAATAATTAGATAAAATTTTAGGTTGAGAAGCTTGATTTGAACAATTGAAAAATCATAAAGATTAAATGTGATGAATTAAAATTAAAAAAATTAAAATTGTACATATATTAAGATATAGAGACTAAAAATATAATTAAGTTTAATTTTTTTAATTTTTATTTTTATTTTTATATTCCAAATGTTTTGTTTATGCAGATCCTCTACGTTTCTACGCACACAATGCTCAATGAAAAAAGAATGAGATTATAGTATAGACAATTTCTTTTGTTTATATTAATAGCATAAGAATTTTAAAAAACTAGTTAACACTCTTGTGTAATATATAAATATTTTATTTTAAAATAAATATGTGTAGAATTTAATAAATAAATAAACAATTATATTTTTTTCAAATAATTATATATATCAAATTATATAAGTGTAAGTTATATTTATAACTTACAAAATTAATGATTTAATATAAAAAATATTTTTTATTAATTCAATGGTTGAATTATAATTATATATATATACCTAGATTATGTTTCAAATTTTGTTAAAATTAAGCATTTATAATATTGTTATAAAAGTGTCCTTATTTTTATATATTTTAAAAGTATATATTATGTAATTTTGAATAATCACAAATTTTACATATATGATTTATGTGATAGAAACTTTTGATCTAACAATTAAATTTATGATTAAATTATTCAACTAAAATTTATTAATTGATATAAAAGTGAATATAACTTAGAATGTAATTTTATATTTCTCTCTTTATATATATATATATATATAACATAATTTTTTTAAAAATTATTTTAACTTAATTCTATAATCATAAATAATATAGATCAAAATGATATTTTTAATAAAAACTAAACTCTTATTTTAGTTTTTGAGATAATAAATATTAATTATTTTAATTTCTTAAATTTAAAAATGTCACCTTAGTTCTTATTTTTATTTCCATCGAGTATTTTAGTTCTATGATTCAAGCATCATTAATAAACAGTAATAAAATGTTAAAATGTTATATTAAGTAACATGTATAATTAATTATGTGATAAAAAGAAATATTGTATATAGTATAATATATATTGTTATTTTATTTTAATCTCTAAAATTATGATTCGTCAAATATTTTAGCCTCTAAGATTGTCACCAACAAACATTTAAGTGTCTAGTCTTTAAAACATTTTATCAACCTATCTTTCTTATTTATTTTTTTATCACTCTTACATTAAGAACCATAATAGTGCCACCACTTATCAAGAATAAATAGCTATAAAAAAAAGTACTAAAAAAAATTGCTCATTAGTAATAGTTAAATTTTTCAATTAATAGTGATCTTACACCAGAACAAATTTGTAATTTTTATTAGAAAATGCTTGTCTAATATATAAAATACAAGCACAAATTTATAATTTAAAATTAAAAAAAATTATCTCTATTTTGTTCCCATAGTTACTCTTTTTTTTATCTTCAATATTATAAAATATATGTAAAAAAATTAATTTATTATAATTTTTTATATAATTTATTTGTTTTAAAATGATTCAATTATCATAGTGTATAAAATTAAATATAATCATTATAATACTACTATAAAATTATAACATTAAAAATCATTAAATAATTAGTTATTATATTGGTTTGTTTTTTATAATTATTTTATTAGAAATTAAAAAATAATAGCACAAAAAATTATTACACTAGTTTTAAATATGATTGTACTAATTCACTAAATATCACATGATTTGTTCATTATTTTTAAAATTAAAAACATTATCTTTAAAATTTATTATAATAATATATTTAAGCATTTGAAATATTTACTAATATTTTATTTATAAATGTTATATAATTTTAGTTTGGAGGGGAAAGGAGGAAAAGGGGTTCAAGGAGAAAGAAAGTTAAACCATTTCCTAATTTGGATGTTTAATATTGAGAAAGAAGGGCGATGAGGGATTTAATTATGCAAGTGATATTATTGTATTTTATATCTTTTATTTACTTTTTAATTTTTAAAAAATAAAAAAATAAATATTTTTCTTTCTCTAAAATTAATAGTTTTAAAATTAATATTTTTATTTTTTATAAATTTTTAAAAAATTCTCACTTAAAAAATCTAACATTTTAAAAAATAGAATACTAATTTTGAAAGAACACTAGAGAATAATGAAAGAGAAAAAATTCTAAAAATAGAGAATTCAAAAATCTTGAAAGAGCACAAAATAGCGTAATAGAAAACTTCAAAATAGAAAAATTAAAAAGACTAAGGTTTTGAAGGTTTTGTAAGGTTTAAAAAAATCCTAATCTTTTCGTTCTCCTTCTAATTAAGTAACTCTCAAAAAAGAATTAAAACACCATTTTTTCTTCTCTTCTTAAACACAACTCCCAAGTATAACTAAAAGAATGCTCAAATATAGATGGCTTGCAAATACATACATAGGTTAGTAACTACATTTGGAAGAATGTGGGACTTGGAGGTTATTGATCATAAATTCAATCTAAATTCACCATACATAGGTCAGATTATTTGAATTAATCATCTTACTCCTTTAAAAAAATAGAACTACTACGCAGTGCAAACTAATTATGATTCTTAACATCTTGGATGATCATCACATTGACAGAGGATGAACATGTTTTTTGTTTCCTCCAAATTTTGCTTTTGGAATATGTTGAGGGGATTCAGTTTGGTGTGAGAGATGATAGAAGAGCTGTTATATTAACAAAACTGAGTTACAAATATATTGGTGTTATATTGTAACAAGATGTTTGGATTTTAGGAAATTGAATAACTCCGTTGAAATAACACTTTATAAACAGAGAAAACTAAACTCAGAAAGTTCTTCGTTGATCAAAGAGAAAAGAGAAATAAGAGAAATAAGAGCGGAAGATTTTCTCAATTATTTTTATCTTGTTTCAAAACAGCATGATATCAAGACCATACATGGTATGATTTGTTACAAGACGATAAATTAAGAAAATTAAATTCTGATATGTGTCGTGATTTTAGTACCATTATATCATTTCCTAACAAAATTTGTTACCTAATAACAGAAAAAACACGTACAAATAATAAAATACTAAAGCAGTTTATTGCTGTCACATATATGACCACCAAAGTTCTATCAACCTTTGTCATTTTTGTGCATACAGCCTAATCTGAAGAGACGAAAGAGCCTTACAATTTACTTTGCACTGTTAAATGATCAATGCCAAATGTGTTATGGAAAAGTTGTAGATTAAAGAAAATTGGATCTGGAAATAGTACAATAGGCCGATATTGTAGTAGATTTCAGATCATTATGCGGTTTCACTGATGTCAAATCCTTTATCATCAGCAGTTAAGGTTGACACCAAAAATTTAAAGTACTATTCTTAAGAAGCAAAACCCACTATGAACAAAGGGAAGTATTACACAACGTCCCTTTTATTAAAGAGACAAAACTAGTTTTCATGATCACCCTTGTTTTCTGATGAACTCTATCCCCTTCTGGATGCTTCCTTCTAATTCTTTCTTTGCTTTTTCCAACCCAATCCTGTTAAGTTAAACGGAAAGTTTTCACTTTTTGTGTTGCTTATGTATGATGTATCCAAGAAAATAGGTATTAGTTTAATAAATAACTATGATTACCTTTCATACTCATTCAGGGGACCCAATTGATATACCTCCTCTGCTCCACATCGACCAAGACGTACCTTAGTTGCAAAGAAGGGAAGTTCTGTAACCTATTGAAAATATGTGTTACTGTTAAAACAAGATCTGAAAGAGAAGATGAAGAACATGTAACAACAAAAAGATGGCCTTGAAAATGGCACCTGAGAATCAACAAAAGCACACTC